ACGAGCCTTCTGTATCACGAGCCAAACTCGGCTCGTGGAAGCTGTGAGTCGAGTGACCATCAGATGGAATCCCAAGTCGAATTTCGGGTTTAGGGCTTATAGGGCTTAGGGTTTATAGGGTTTAGGGCTTTGGGCTTAGGGTTTATAGGGTTTAGGGTTTAGGGTGCCAGCCGGCGGCTTTCAGGATTAGACTGTCGCGATTCAGAACCGAAGCTTGAATATTGAAAGTTGAAAGAAACTCGCTTTAGGGTTTTAGGGTTTGAGGGTCAAGTGTTTTAGGGTTTAGGGTCTTCAAGAAGGAGCCCAGTCTCGCCATTCCATGAGAAGCTGGCGTGCTCCAGGCAGATTCCCTCCTTGGCCCCCTCCGGAGATGCTAGGGTGGTGGCGATCTCCGGGACTAGCAGCAACCGCTCCACCCGGGTGATGCCCGCGCTCATTGTCTGCCTTCAGACCCATAACAACAGTCTGCAGGGTTTGGGGGTTTACCTACGAGGTCCCACAAATTTGGGGTGAATATTGCAATGGGAATAAGGCCCGGCACAACTGCATCCGGCAGTTTGGCCAGAGCATGAAACCGAAGGAAAGCGGGTCGAAGTAGGCCACAGTCATCGAAACGATGTCGGCCTCTACGGTTTAGGGTTTAGGGTTTGGGGTTTAGGGGTTTAGAGTTTAGGGTGTAGGGCTGCTTGTGGAGGTCTTCTATGAAGGGTCGGGACAGTGGGGGCGAGGCGGGTTCAAGGCTTTGTGAGGCACGGGGTTCAAGCCTTCTGTCTCGGGGCTTCATCTAGGGATCTGAACAGACAGTAAGAGCATCAGCTTAGAATCCCTATTTGACGAACATAAGTATAAACCCTAAGACGGCCCCAAGACCCAGTCCTAGTAGCACCGTATTTAAGAACCGTATGAACCTTATCAAACCCCGTTCTCAACATCAGACCCCCTCTAAAGAGTAGCATGTTGGAAAACGCTTGCTTATTGAGAAGCATCTGGGGCAGCTCAGGATTCAGCGCGCTTGGGTAGGGGCTTAGTTTACTGGGTTCTTGTCTTGGGGTTTCGTTTAAGTCACTACAATAAAGCAAACAAAATTATTCTTTACTATAGATCCCTCTTCTGGTAACTTCACTTAAGTTCCTTAACAAGAACCCAATTTAGGGCTTCATAAGGCGGCTGTCGGTGGAGGGCAGGGGCCTAGGGAAATTCAGAGGATCTCGGGAAGTGCAGGGCTCAGCGCAGTATCATAAAGGGGGTGTCATGAAAATCGGAGTAGGCTTCGGGAGATATTATGTTAATAGTACAACTACAATAAGGAATCCTAAGGAATAGCTTGAGAATTATTCGTGCTTCTATATTCGGAATTGGAGTTTGGTACGAGTCTCACAGGCACGGAAACCTTTGGAAGCATGAAGGCATAATGTCGGCAATCGTTCAGGCTTCCAATGCAGGAGCCTTAATAACTAGAATAGTGTCTTGGGCTCCTTTATAGCATATCTTAACAAGAAACCCTAGGGAATAATATTGGTAATTGTCGAGGCTTCTATATTATGTTAGGCCCAGATCGGACCTCTAAGGTACGGCCCAGAGCCACGTGTGTCAGCAAGGAGGCCGTGATCCCAATCACGGGCAAAGCCGCCATGGCACCCTGCTGCAAGGCGTAGCACAGGTGAATCCACGACAGAAGCCGCACCTAACAGGGTTTAGGGTTTAGGCCTTGGGGTGTGGGGAGGGACATTTTCAAAAATGAAAGAAGGATCTACGATAGAATCTGGGCAGGCTGTTGGCCGCCGTGAACTCAAAGCGACTGCACGAACAAGCTCTAAACCGAAAACCCGTAGACCCTAACAGCCCTAGACCTTATTCCGACCCGGAAGCCCCGAATCATTAAACCCCTAAGCCGCAAACCTTAGATCTCGAACTACTCAACCCTAAAACCCGAAACTCCTGAACCTCTAAACACTAGAACCCGAGACCCTCTAAACCCTAAAACCCTAAAACCTAGAATCCTAAAGCCCTACCTGCAGCCGAAGAGACCTACCTTTCTAGGCTTCCGTATGATGGTTTTCTATATCTGGTTCCTCAAAAAAAAAGTAAGTCTTTTGGGCCCTAAACCCTAAACCCTAAACCCAAAGCCCTAAACCCTAAGCCCTAAGCCCTAAACCCTAAACCCTAAACCCTAAACCCTAACCTCTCGTTTTGGCCCGTGCCTCCTCATCTCGCACTCGCTTGATCTTCGCCTCCAGGGCGCCCTCCCAGGCGCAGTACTTGATCGATCGTGCCCCTGTGCTGGAGCTGCTTCGGCTTTTAGGGTTTCGGGTTTTAGGCTTTAGGGTTTCGGGGTTGGGGCTTAGGGTTTAGGTTTTTTTTTGTTTTTTGTTAGCGGGTTCTTTTCCTCCCCGCCTAGGGTTTAGGGTTTAGGGGTAGGGTTTTAGAGCCTGACTGTACGGGTTCCCTTAAGGGCTCCTTTACGGGGGCTGGGTGGCACTGAAGGCATCGCCAGCAATAGCCATGTCCACGTCAACTAACATACTGTTGACCCCAAGCCGAATTTCCAAGCACCTGCTACCCCACACCACTAAGCCGTAGTTTATTTGCCTTCATAGTTACCATTACGATTTCGGGGGGCTCCTCAGTATAATTATAGTCCCCCCAAAACCTAACCCTAAAAACCCTAAACCCTAAAAACTCTAAACCCTCAAAACCCTAAACGAGGCAATCTGGGGTTTGGGGGTCGAGGGCTCAGTATGGCAGGGTTCAGGGCGTGGAGTTCCAGAGCGGCACTCGATGACAAAGCCCACAAAGTCAAAAAGCTTGCCAGTATATGGGGTTTAGGGTTTAGGGCTTAGGGTTTAGGGCTTAAGGTTTAAGTTTAGGGTTTAGGCTATAAGGGTAATTAGTACAAGGGCTCCCTAAAACCTAAAACCCTAAACCCTAAAAATTGGAAGGCTAAGGCGCCCTGGAGGGTCTCGTTCACGAGGACGAGCCGCGAGTCTGCCACCGTAAGCTTAGCTTTGACGTTCCGCTTGTAGGCCACCGCTGCCCAGCTACTCAATACCTAGGGTTCCGGGGCCTTCATAATTAAGATCGGGTTTTGGAGTTTTTTTATACCATAATTATAATAATAAGGAACCCCCCCCCAAAAAATAGTATAGGTAATTATTAAGGCCCCTACATTAGGGTTCGGGGTTTTGGGTTTAGGGCTGTGGGGTTCCCGGTAGTCCCCTTCATGACTGAATAAACAAAGTACCCTTGTTCCTACTATTTGGTATTGCCGAAGGGAACCCCAAAAGAAAAAGGGCAAACGGATACTACGCAGGAACCGAGATACCGATACAAGCACACAGGATGCAAAGCCTACTAGAAAGGCTTCCCGAAGATAGTAGAGAAGAATGGCTGATGGCACCAAGATGTTGCAGGGCATCACCAAGAAGATGCAAAGAAAGGGCCCCATGTAAGGGAAAATGCTTGCATCCTGTCCAATCATGGATATCACCTGACCTTCGCTAAATTGAGACGTGAAAGCACCGGCATCGATGCTCGCCATCTTCGTGAAAATATTGCCGACTAAGGCAGCCCACATCTGCCTCCCCCAGTGAGAGAAGCCATGGAAGCCGTGTTGCTGAAGGAGCCCACCGACCATGCCTGAGGCGGCGATGGCCGAGAGGTACCCAAATGCCTCAAGCCACAGCCCCTGTCGCAGGGAGTTCACCGTCTGGCGCAGCAAGAAGGGCGCAAGCAAGAAGCAACATGCAGCGAGCAGGGCCCTTACAAACTCCAGTAGGAATACCTTCTTCCAGCACTGGAAGAGTGCTCTCTGCAGGGAAGGCTTCCGGTCCTGTCGTGTTATTTCATGTGCCAACTGCTCCGCAAGCTTCTCAGCAGCCGATTCGGAAGACTCCTGGGCTCTTGCTAGGGGACCTACCATAACAATTCATACATCTAACTTATCGGACATCCCTATTTCTAGTCATTCTCGTAACCCTAAACCCGTAAATAAATGTACCCTAAACCCCTGAGCCCTGCTTTGCAAGAACCCAAGATTCGGCGCGTGGGAATGCCGGCAACGACATCAGCGAGAAGTCCTGCCGCGAGATGTCCCGAGACGCCTGTCGGAAAAAAGGGCTAGGGTTTAGGGTTTATGGCTTAGGTTTTAGGATGCCTGTCGGGAAAAAGGCAGCGCCCATCCGAACCAAAGCCGGCGCAGTAGCCCGGCGGATTCCTCCGGGCTGGCGCCACCTTTGGCGGTGTCCGATGTTGCCATGGCTAGAGACAAGGGCGTATTTCATGAATCCCTCCGATGTCCTCCAAGATGTCCATGGCCTCTCTAGAACGAAGCCATGGAGTCGGCGTGAGGTGTTTAGGGTTCTAGGGTTCAAGATGTAGTCGAGTCCGGGTTTAGGGCTTAAGGTTTAGAGCTCGGGCTTATAGATCAAGGTGTTTGATTTGGAGATGGCTGTACAATCCAAACCCTGCATCCTAAGCCCTTAGATCCTAGAGCCTTTTCTGCACACTATCTCGCCAAGTACCCAGTGCAGATCACAAAATGAGCCTCATAAGGGTTAGGGCAGGGCACTGCGGCCAAGACATCCAAAGTTACACTCAGACTGCGAGCAGGTTAGTGGTCCCCGGCGTCTGCAGAATACCCGATTGCTTTCTTATCTTGCACATGCATGAGGTTGGACTGAGCCTGCAATGCAAGCCCACGCAGCGGGTGGACCGAACTTCAAGAGTGGTTGTCGTTTGAATCAAACGCCAGCTTCCGCCACAACACCCCCCTGGCATGAACGCATACTCAAGCGGCGCACCTACGTAGATCAGAAAACCGGCACGACAAACACAACAGATGAGGCTCAGCACGTGTAGATGCATGTTTCATACATGTGCGTATGTTTATATCTACCTATCTATCTATCCATCTATCTATCGATCTATCGATCTATCGATCTATCTATCTACCTATCTATCTATCTACCTATCTACCTATCCATCTCTGTCTCTATCTCTGTTTCAACCTTTG